AGCATATTATTTATAATCATATTATAAGTAATATGATAAAATGATCATATCTCGTTGTTGTCCTTTGCTCATTGGCCATCAATGTAAGTGATTCAAGGCTTGGGACATCGCACATATGATTAGGCGTAGTGTACGTAAGCTGATGTGAACATCCTTGTTAAAAGACATTTTTTTTTCGAAAAAAATAATCATATTAAACGAGATTAACAAAAGTTAATATAACGATATATATTTGAATGAGAAGAAAAATGATAAAAATATCATCACCATCTATACAAATCTACCTATTAGGAAAAAAAATTTAAACTACTAATTAATAGGCTTAAAAAAAATAAAATGTATTTTATTATACATATATAGGGTACCATAGGGGTGTTGTAGTGCAGGGCGGTGTTAATAACTCAATATCGGAAGTCATATAAAATCGTACAAGTCTCTGTTTTGCTAGGGTTTTCTCTCGTTTCTCCATTTTTATGTCTACTTAAATTATCATCGATTTTGGTGGAATTGCAGCTTGCTTCAGCAAAAAAACAAATTGAAGAACAGACGAAGCCGGAACCCTAATACAATTTTGCTCTCGAAGAACGAATTATACAAACGCAAGTAGATGAACATGTTGACAACTATGCTGGATTCTCTGATAATCATACCCGGTTTGCTGGTCATGAGGTCTTGTCGAACTACATTTCTTGATTGAAAGTTCTTTAATTTTCTATTTCTTGTCTTAGTGTAAAACTAAAACCCACTAGACTGCATCTTTTGAAATGACATTGGGCCACTTTGTAGCTTAAATCTTTAAAATTGGCAAAATAGGATGCCATTATTAATCAAACTACATGAAACCTAGATCGTAGGCAGAAAACCTTCGGATTATAATGTCAGATATTGTCAATGCCCTGTTGCACCTCTTTAATTGTTGAAATTATTTGGTTTTGACCAAAAATGCAGGAGGAAATTGATCGGAAGTTAATGGAAGCCTTCTTCTTCAGGGATGCTCTTCCACATCACAAATTGGCTGACATTATATCTGGTAAGATTAAATAAAATTATCAAGGCCCTTCACTGTTTTTGTGAGGTCTGTTTATTACTGCTTACAATAACATAAAGTTGATATCTTTTGAACACTTTGAGCCATGGGGCCTTTGAATTTTGGCATATAAAAACCTGAGGTTATTAGGTAATGATGTTTCACCAAGGGCATATCACATCACATAGAAAACATTTACCCTTTTCTACCAAACAAATCATCTTACTTAACTTTTCTACCAACAATAGCAACCAAGTTGCATTTTTTAGCAATATAGGCAATTTGTAACAAGGAAGAGTTAGGCAAGTTCAATTCGTAAGTGGTGGTCAATAAATGATCATGTGGCAAATACTAAACGTCTAAACGTATCGATCATGTTTAATAAATAATAAGGGTTTAATTAAAAAAGGTTTCTCATTTATTGCAGGGGGAAGAAATACATTTTAGGAAAAGAAGAAGGCGAGCAATTTCAGTGACTAAAAACAAGCGATTTCAGAAAAGTTATTGAGGGATCGTTGAAGTCAAAATCAGGTACATATTCTTGCATAGTTTGAAATTGTGGGTTATGTAGTTGGAATCTGTATGAAAGTGTGAACACATAGTTTTTTTTTTACAGGGTTTTGATAATGGTCTCCTTGTTTTTATTGTTTATTTGAATGTTACTTACTTAGGGTTCTTTATTTTTGGTTTTTTAACAGTATGACATCTTCAAAAGCAAGAAAATCTTCAATTGAGATAAACTTCAATGGCATGTTTGTGACGAGTCCATTTGCTTATGAAGGAGGTGAAATCAAAGCACTTGATAATCTTGATTTCACAACCATGGAATACTCTGAGTTTTCTGATTTCTTGAAGAAGGAAACAGATGCAGACTGCTCAGGTATATATTATGTTATTCCTGGCAAGGAATTGCATAATGGATTAAGGCTTATAAAAAGTGATGTGGATTTCAAAATTTTTGTTGATTATGGACATAGAAGTAAGCGTAGAATTGCATTATACCTTGAACATTTCGATGAAGATTTGACAGAGTACCTTGAAGGGGTTGAAGATGTAGTAAACCACAAGATGGATGAGAGTGAAAATGAAACAGACAGCATGAGTGATGATGATGATGATGATGATGATGTTGATGATGACGACGACGATGATGACGATGAGAGTGAAGACACTGCTTCCATAGATCATTTGTCAGCAGATGAAGTAGAACTCAGTGAACTTAGAAAGAAGAAAAGAGCACGCATCATTGAACCAATCATGTTTGGTTCAGGGCGAAATAGTCTTTTTGATGCTGATGTTGATGAACTGTCGAAAGAAGATACTATGGTAATCGAACATGAAAGCTTTTTGAATGAACTTTCAATGTCTTTACAAAAACAGACACATAATAACATGAAGAATGATGGAGTAAAGTATCCTAGACATAATCCTAGTATATATTGGAAACTGATGAAACCTATACTTGGTGAGAGATATGAAAGTCCCCAACAACTGAAAGAATGTATCACAAATTATGCAGTTGCCAATGGTTATCAGATTTGGTTTGAAAGAAATGATCACATGAGACTTCTTGCAAGATGTTCCAAAAGAGCACATGATGATGAAACAAAATGTCCTTGGAGACTATGGGCTACATGGATGGGAAATGAGAAATCTTTTCAGGTAAAGTCACTTGTAGATGAGCATAAATGTGCAAGACACTTCAAATCTGCTTCACTTGTGAATTACAAATGGATTGCAAACAAATTTGCAACCAAAATAACACAAGATCCTGAAATCAAGCTAGTTGATTTACAAGCTGCTGTGTTGAAAAAATACAAGTGTCAGGTGAGTATAAGACTATGTCATAAAGCAAGAGCATATGCATTAAGTGAATATGAGCAAGGTGGAAAACTACATTATGGTAAATTATGGGAGTATGCTGAAGAGATTAAGAGAAGTAACCCTGGTAGCACAGTCAAGATGAATGTAAAAGTCAACCCTGATGATGGGAAGACTTATTTTCAAGGTTTCTATGTGTGTTTTCAAGGTTTGAAAGAAGGGTGGAAACATGGGTGTAGAAGAGTGTTGGGATTGGGTGAATGCTGTTTAAAAAGTGTTTATAAAGGTGTATTGTTATCTGCTGTAGGTAGGGATGCAAATAATCAAATATATCCAGTAGCATGGGCTGTAGTTAATGTTGAAAATAAAGAGAATTGGAGTTGGTTTCTTAAATTGATTAAAAAAGACCTCAATCTTGATGATGGGACAGGTGTCACTCTAATATCTAACGAACACATGGTATTGCTTCATACTTTTTTTTTTTTTTCATTATTCTTCAACACTTGCTATAACAAATATTAACAATGTCTTTTGTTACAATATAGGGAGTAATTGAAGCAGTGAATGATGTGTTGCCACAAGCAGAACACAGACAATGTGCCAGACATATTTATGATGATTTTACCGAAAAGTTTACTGGAGGGCAGTTTCGGCGTCTTTTTTGGGAAGCTTGCAAAGCATCGTTTCCTCAACAATTTGATAAGGTAATGGAAGAGATCAGAGTGGAAAATCCTGATGCATATCAATACTTAATGGATAAAGACCCCTCTACATGGTCAAGGGTCTTCTTTCAAACTAATGTAGGGTGTGATGCTGTTGAAAACGGGATTAGTGAGTGTTTTAACTCACTAATCTTTGATTTAAGGAGAAAGCCCATTGTCACCTTACTTGAATCCATCAGAGTTATAGTAATGGATAGAATGTCAAAAATGAGAGTTGAAGCTGAAAACTGGGATGATGATATTTGTCCCACCATTCGAAAGAAACTTGAACACACAAAAGAGTTAGAAAGGTAATAAAACGTTACTACTCCCAAATATTCATATGCAATTTATTTGATGTTATGTTTTTGTGAAGGTTTTGGCGTGTGATACCATGTGGTGGATCTTTGTTTGAGGTAAAACATGGAGCTGATGTTTTCATGGTGGATGAAATTGGGAAAACATGTAGTTGCAGGACATGGCAATTGTCTGGTTTACCTTGTCCTCATGCGATTGCTGCTATATTCTACATCAACAAGCTTCCGGAAACTTATGTTTCAGATTGGTTCCGGATGAAGATGTTGAATGAGGCGTACAGTCATCATGTGAAGCCATTGAATGGAATCAAAATGTGGCCTGAAACAAAGGGGGTTACCCCTTTAGCACAAAAGCCAGCTGTAAACATGCCTAGAAAAAGGGGGAAGTTGAGAAAAAGGAAAAGGGATGCAATGGAAGTGTATGTGTCTAGTGGAAGTGGGGCCATGGTGGCACATGTGTCTGGTGGTGGTGTGGTGGTGCATAGCTCTGGTGGAGGGACAGTGGATAGGGAAGGAAGAAGGATGACTTGTAAGAAGTGTTTACAGGTGGGGCATAATGTGAGATCATGTAAGAATGAAAAGAGGGATTCACCAAGAAAGGAGGCTAGACAGGCTGGAAGGAAGAAGGTGATTATTGTTAGTGAGGGGGGAGGAGGACGTACAGGTGGCAGAGGTGGAAGAAGGGGGAGAGGAGGTGGGAGAAAGGGTTTGTTTGGATCAGATCATATGACGGAAGATGATGTGATAGGGGTAAGATGGTCTTTTTTTTTTTTTGAATTTTGATGTATGATTAGATTAGATTGGCAATTAATGTGTTTGATTTTTGATATTGACATTGACAGTGTGGTGATGACATTCCTCTTGCTGTTTGGCCACCGCTTGGAGTACCACTTCTTTTGGACAAACAACATGTGGAGGTTGCAAAACAAGAAGAAACCGGAATGGAATTGACATCACAAAATCAAGAGGAAAGTGGAATGGAATTGACATCACAAAATAAAGAAGATGGAGTAGAAGTCAAAGACAAAGAGGCTAGCCCAAATAAAGATGAAGGGCTTATCTCACATGGTGTTGAAGACCCTATCCCCATTAAGGTTGAAGGTTCTCCTCCTCCTATACCACATGAAGAAGATAAAGGGCCTATTCCAATTCAAGTTGAAGACCCTATCCCACATAAACATCAAGATACTCCCTCAAATAAAGATCAAGAGCCTACCCCAATTAAAGAACAAGACCCCTCTATCATAAGTGAAGATCAAGGGCCTATTCCAATTGAGGTTGAGGGCCCTGAAGATCAAGAACCTATCCCAACTAAAGATCAAGAGGCTCCTATCATACATGAAGATGAAGGGCCTATTCCAATTGAGGTTGAAGTTGAAGTTGCGGACCCCATATCACATGAAGATCACGAAGAATCTATCCCAACTAAAGATCAAAAGCCTATTTCAAATGGAGAACATGAACATCAAGAGTTTATACCAAATGAAGCTAAAGAGTCTATCCCAAGTAGAATGAAGATAAAAAACCTATCCTAGATAAAGGGCAAGAGCCCATGCCACATGAAGATGAAAAGCCCATTACTCCACATGAAGATAAAGAGTCTATTCCTATTCTACCTCAGAAAGAAATGAGATCACAAGTTTCAACAAGTGAAAGGATAGTTAAGAACAAGTCAAGGAAAGGTAGTGTGGAGAAAGATGGGGAAGGAAGCAGCAGTATGGAGAAAGCAAAAGCAGTGATGTTAGATAATTAAAAGTTTTAGGATGTTATTTTTTGTTTAAATAGGGATTTTTTGTTTTTTCTGATCATGTGAACATGTTTGGGTGGGTGGGTGCCTTTGAATTGCTATTGTGGTTGTGGTGCCTTTTGAACATATGTGTATGGGACTTGGGACTTTTATTGCACTTGCAAAACCCTAGTACGATTTCACTTGATTGGTTAGGACAAAAATATGAGATTAAGCACTATAATTGAAAAGGATACATTTCATTCATTGATTTCCACATTAACTCAAAACTATCAAAACAAATTAAAATACATAATATCAAAACCAACACTCTCATCAGTCATCGCTAGGATAAGCCTATTGTACATTTGACTTGATCCATTAAGCATCTCCTGGCTTATTGAAAAAAAATAATATTATTTTAATAAGTTTTTTACATTCGTGATGGAATGACTTTTTCAGATTGGAGTCCAAGAAACAGCGTTTCACAATTTCAGCCGGTGAGGTTACTGGTTTACTGGTGGGGGCGATTCTTCAAAATCTCTGCAGTCTCTCAAATAGATGAAGAAATCAAGCACAAGATTGCCGATCAGTAAAATTTCTTATACTTTAAAATGCATCATCATATACGCATTAAACCAGACGATTCTTTTAAAAGCATTCCTCAATACCTGGAAAATGCACTAAAACTCCACATATATAACAAATATGTACACATAAAGAATAAAAGAAACATGAATCTAGCCCTAAATCCTAACTTTTATGTTTTACACTGAAAACCCTAATTCCATCATACACCCAACAATGCTGTTCCGTTTCGTACAAAATCTCAAAACCCTAACAAAGATGATGGAAATACTAGGTCCACAGCGAGGGTTTGTGTTGAAGCTGAAGCATTATAAGTATGGTTCTAAAATCCATGGTATATGAAAAGAATCAGTCCATAGTTCTGAATAACTTTTTCATTTACATATATCTGTTTAGTTCTAATGTACCCCACTGTCTTAATTATGGTGATTATCATGAATGGCATAGATAAAGCTTTTTGTTTCATGTGTACTTTGCTGTCTATGCCTTTTTCACTGGTAATAGTTTAGTTCATCAATTGTAAACCTTGCATGCTATTTTACAATTCATTGATCACCAAATTTAAGGTTGTTTACATTAAGAAAAATCTAGTCAATTCATACAGCATCTAATTTACTTATGCACAACTGACATCTAATGTTGCTTGCATGTGCTTCTTGAGTCTGCTTTTCTACCAATATTCTAAACATGCCTTTTGTATATACTCTATAGCAGTATTTGAGGAATATTCTCTCACAAAAAATCTTGTATGTCTCCTAATAGGTCATGTGTTTGCATTAAGTATATATTTTCATGGTAATAAATCTGATGTATATGATAAGATTTATATCATCTTGTTATTGCTCAAACTGAAAGTACTTTTATCCCTGTCTGTAGGTAAGGTTACAGACTTACAGTTACATACATGCAGGAAGCATCAAAGACCATGGTGTCTACCAAGATAACAAAAATGTAGGCTTTTGAGCATGTGTAAGAAGAAGAGAACTCAAAATCAAGGTACTTTCACTTTCCTATGTCATCATGAATTGTGGCCCAAAAATGTCTTTCAATTTTCGACAACGTGTAGCCTCATTATCTATTTATCTTTTGTCTTTAGGTTATTTCATGACAAAAGCAACTCAATTTTGTTTGTTTCTTGCATCTTATATAAAATATGAGAATATTTTGGGGATGTTGAATGGGCATTGTGCTATGTACCCTGGAGAAGTTGAAAGGGCACCATTTTTATCTCTTTTTTACAAAATTTTATCCCAAACAAGTTGCTTTTTTCGGTTCAAGTGCTCAAATCCCCATGCTTTGATAAATAGAAAAATCCATTTGATTGATTGAACAACTAGTTTGCTTAATTTCGTATGCACAAGCAACATGTTGCATGTTGCCTTTTTAAAAAAAAAGCTTGCATGCTATGCAGAATGTTGATTGTAACTGTCAAA